ATGTCATTTTTAATGCAAATATGACATTATTTGACCTAACCCTACCCCTACCCTTACCCCTAACCATAGCCCATAACAAAGACATCTCAAACAATGTCATCTTTGCATTAAAAATTACATAACTGAGCGAATGACACTTAATGACAGTTGTCATAAACATGCATAAAACCTCCTTCATATTCATGACATGTGTCATGTCATGATTATGAAGGTGTTATGTCAGTCTTATGCACACCCCTTCAAGTAAAGTGTTACCCTTTTATAATATTAATAAGCCACCATCTCTGGCTTTGTTTTTTTTCTGCTCAAAGTTATTTCAGGGTTTTGATCTCTCAACTGAGAGAACACATCCAGTTTATTATATAATGAATATGTAATATTACATTTAAACTTTGACTATAGCCTAGACATGTTGCATATTAATTGCACTATTTATGAACCTCAAAGCATATGTTTGTGTATTTTGTGTTACTCCATAATGGTGTTCTATTTGAGGGCATTTGTAGTGTAGGTATAGGGCCCAAACATAACCTCAAGCCCAGGGGCCCCCGGCCCCCTAAGTCCTGCCCTGCAATCATCAATGGAAAGCTTATTTATTTCGAAAAATTTACCTTTATGACTGGTTTTGGGGTCCAGGGTCACATATATCTGATTAAATTACAGTGCTTTACGTAAAGGTTATATTTTTGTTTAAATTAACACACAAAGTAAAAGCATTTATTCACACTAACACAACATCTGGTTTGACAAAGGCTGAACTGCTAATGTATTTGATAAGACATTCTGTCTCTCAGACATAATACACACCTCTTTAGTTGTTAACACAATTTGGGGCGCCAAGAGAATCAATCATTAGCAACCCCGAATCCTAAAAATTGTGCATCAGAAATCTCTTGATAGTGATTCCACAGCTGTTTCAGAGAAACCCATCCACAGCTGTGCCATTTATGGCAGATGCCCTTTTTAAACAAGAGTGTGGTTTGACTGAAGCTCAGTTTGGAGGAGTCGAGTGTCTCAGCGAGGGTAGCCACACTCATTCATGGCATCCGTAAAACAACGACCAGATTTAGGATGCTTCACAATCTCCCAAATAATTCCATACTGTAGGATCATTTGTACACGATTATATATGTAGTTGCTGTTTTGATATGTTAAATCATCTTAACAGATGTGTAGGAAGATATTCTAGAGTGAAGCATCGTGGGATGGGGGCGGTAATGGTCATGATTGACAAGCACTTTGGCCAATCATATCGCTCTGATGATGTGTCGGCGACATCTGAATGGCTAACGACTAGTAGAAACTACGTTTTAAGGAGAAAATAATCAAATTACAAAAGATAAACAACTAATTAATACATGCTAGAATATCTTAGAGGTAACATGTTTTTATTATTACTCATTTTATCTACTGTAAGCGTCTTTCATACTGCATTCGTCTGTGAGAGAGAATGTTACAAAGTAGACATGTAAAAAAAGGATCTATTTCGGACTGAGGGATTTAAAAAGCTCAGAACATGGTAGATTTATTTAGTAAAACTATACAATAGCGTTAAGAAGCACTATGTATTACATTATGCTAAACCATGCCTTCTTCATCCTCCTTTTCCACATTCCAAATTCATCACGTAAGAGTTCGGTCCATAGAAAAGCTTCTATCTACAGCTATGTCAAGTCAGCATTAAATGAAGAATAACCATTACTATATTTGAAAAACATGTTATAGATCTTATTGTGAACAAACAATATGTAAAAAAAATGCAAAAAAATAAATAAATAAACAAACAAACCTTTGGCCCTCTAGTGGTTGAAGCATAAACGTACGCGTTATTCGCAATAATCGTCCCGGTGTGTATGAGGCTTGAGGCTGCCCCCTAATAGTCGACTAACCATTAGTCGACCAGAAGAGGCTCGGTCGCCCAAAATTGTAATAGTTGCTTAGTCGCTGGGATAAAAAAATTAATTAATTATATAAAATCCACAGGCGAAGTCACGCAGTCCGTGACGGACAGAACGTTAACGGCTGGTATATAATACAGTACATCAGGCATGCCTCGCCATCATTCATCGACCTCAAATATGGCTTATCATCTGAAATATGTAAGTATTAGCAACTTTACATGGCCACTCAATCTAAAGTCTGTGCAGAGCGTGGAGGCTGAACAGTAGCTCTCACTGCAGGACTGATGGAGGGGCCGGTGCATCACTTGCTCTTAAAGGGGTCATATGATGTTGCAAAAAAGAACGTTATTTTGTGTATTTGGTCTAATGAAATATGTTTATGCGGTTTAAGGTTCAAAAAACACATATTTTCCACTGTAATGAAATGTGTTTACACATTATTTTCCACATACTGTACATTATTGTTTCTCCTCTATGCCCCGCCTTTCTGAAACGCGTCGATTTTTACAAAGCTCATCGGTCTGAAAAAGCGAGGTTGCATCGCACCGCGTAAACATAAAACCATGTCTGCATTTGTGATCGGAGAAATGACAAACAACAAGTGCTACACTACACTGCCCAAAACTCATGTTTGAATTGTCAGTGGCAAATCCTTTAAATATAAAAACGTACTTACAGTCTTTGAGTCAGAACAGCCGGCATTGTAGTCTACTCTCCCAGGATCAGGAAACAGTCCTCCATAAAATGTGCTGCACACATCTGAATATTTGGGTTGAACTGTTCTGGAACAGTGT